CTGTGAATAAAATGAGGTGGACCTGTATTTTAAGGGCCTTAACTGTTTTATAAAGGAAGGGAATCCCATGAACATTAAGCTCTATTTTCACTCAGGGAGCAGCCCTGCCGCACCTTATCCTCTTACCCTGGTTATATTTCTTTATAGCACTTGTTATGATGCGGACAGACCTGTCATGTCTATTTGCTTATTGTCTGCCTTCCCCACTAGAATATAGGCTCCATGGGGCTGCGGCTGGGGTGAGGTGTGCCTTTTATAGCTCAATGGTTGCGTCCCTACGACTTAGAACAGAGCAAGCACTAAACTCATAGGTGCTGAATGATAGACTCTCCTCCCTCTATAAAACCACTTACCACCTCTAGGTCCAAGTATAGACTTTTTTAAAGTTAAAAAACTATTATGACTAGTATTTTTTATTACAAGAGAGAGATAGAGAGTTAGAAACATCGATGAGAGAGAAACATCGATCAGCTGCCTCCTGCACATCTCCTACTGGGGATGTGCCCGCAACCCAGGTACATGCCCTTGACCGGAATCGAACCGGGGACCTTTCAGTCCGCAGGCCGACGCTCTATCCACTGAGCCAAACCGGTTTCAGCCAAGTGTAGACTTTTTTAAAGTTAAAAAACTATTATTACTAGTATTTTTTATTACAAAAGCAAAAGATGTTGCTTTGGGTGTCATAGGTGCTATAGATTGGGTTTACGATTTGGGCTAGAGAACAGTCGTAATTGCCCATGACTTGAATCCCAGTCCCTTTATCACCTGGCGTTACCTAAGTTGGCCATTCATAGCAGTGAAAATCTTCTCTATGAGATAATTTTTCTCACAAGTTGGGTCACTTCCCAGAAAGTGCTGTCAGTCCTTGTATTTGGAGTTCTAGCCACTAGATCAGGGGTCCTCAAACTTTTTAAACAGAGGGCCAGTTCACTGTCCCTCAGACCGTTGGAGGGCCGGACTATAGTTTAAAAAAAAACTATGAACAAATTCCTATGCACACTGCACGTATCTTATTTTGAAGTAAAAAAACAAAACGGGAACAAACACAATATTTGTATTTGCATGTGGCCCGAGGGCTGTAGTTTGAGGACCCCTGCACTAGATCATTGATTCATCCTGTCATTTTCACTGAAGCATATTACACAAGTGTGTGCTACGTCCCTTTTACTGGGGATATTAAGACAGTCAACAGCGTCCCTGTGCTCACTGAGCTTTGGTTCCCTGGGGAGTTCAGACACCTCCATGACCAAAAGGCTGTGTTCAGTAAGTCTCCTGTGAACTATGCGGAGCTCTACCTGAGCTCAGAGGACGGAGCACTCACTTGGGGCTTTAGTTAACAGGGAAGGCTTCCTGGAAGAGGTAGCGTATGTGTGGGACTTCAAAAGGCAGAGCAAAAGTTGGGCTGGCCAAACCTAGGGAGCAGCTGCAGTGCACAGGACAGTGGGAGTTAATAAAGGCCAGAGAGGAAGGGGATTGTCTCTTCCGGGCATGCAGTAGAGGCTCTGTTCAGACCCAGATGGGTGAACTGTAAGAAGCAGACTGGAGCCCTAGCTGGTTTGGCTCAGTGGATAGAGCATTGGCCTTCGGACTGAAGGGTCCCAGGTTTGACTCTGGTCAGGGGCAGATTCCTGGGCTATGGGCTCGAGCCCCAGTAGGGGGTGTGCAGGAGGCAGCCAATGGACGATTCGCTCTCATCATTGATGTTTCTCTCTCTCTCCCTCTCCTTACCTCTCTGAAATCAATAAAATATATTAAAAAAAAAAGCAGCAGACTGGATAAGTGTGTTGGAGTTGCTTTGGGAGGACCTTGAATGCTAGACTTTGGAGTCTGTACTTCATCACATAGGCAACAGGAGGCCAAAACAAGTTTTAGAACCAGTGATGCTCTGTACAGTGGGATTTTAGAGAGATTATTCTGATGACTCTGTGGGCTGGAACAAGAAGAAATTGAGGAAGAGACATTTGGGAAGTGAGGGACAGATAAATGGAAGACTGTGGACTGGGGAGATACGGGGGAAATACTGGGAAATGGATTTTTTTTGCCAGGAAAGACATTGGAATGCTTGTGCATGCTCTCAGGGACTGTGACTTTGATCCCTTTGGCTCTACCCAAGAAAGACCTTGTACTGGGACTCAGGTCTCAGCAAACCCTTCCTAATGGTTTATGAAGGCAGAGGGTAGGGCAACCATCACTCACCTTTTCTACCTTCACAAAGCTGATTTCGTCATTTCTGTTTCCCTTGGAGGCTGCCTTCAGTCTTCACTTCCACTTTATTTTCCCTGGCTGGGCATACCGGAAGCAGGGAGTGGGGCAAAGTCTGCTGAGAAAGCTCAACCAACACGAGGAAGGAGATTAGCACAGGGCTTTGATATGTCTGAGAACTCTGCCAAGCAAAGCCTACTCATTAAGGTAGGGCCAGCGTATCAGTCCTAACAAATACCAGTCTGGGTCCAGGCTGGGTGGGAAAGGTGGTGGACCGAAAGGTGACACTAGCATTTTCTGCAGGGCCTGGCCTACCATTAGGTGACTCAGTGTGTTCCCTAGGACTCAGCCAGGGGGCAGGAACAAGGGTTGCAGCCTTTTTTCCTCTTGGGATGGACTGTTCTGTTTTGGCACTAGGTCCACAGGAAGGGCTCCCTATCTAATTACCTCTCTGCCTGTCAGCTCATCAGCCGGAACACAGCTCCAGTCAGGGAAGCAGAGCCCCAGAGCATAGAGGAGCTTCCATGATGTCCCAGGTCGCCAGGCTTGGACTGAGCCCTGCGTGGGGTTTAAAACCCCAGCTCCTCAGTTTTTCAACATAAAAAATGAAGGACATAATTTCAGCCTCACAAGCTGCTTGTGAGATTGAGGGAGGCATGTATGTAAAGTACTTACTTTAGCACTATGCTCTAGCTCACTAAGTGGTTATTATTTTTAATCCCTACCTGGGGATATGTCTTTTTAAAAAAATATATTTTTATTGATTTCAGAGAGGAAGGGAGAGGAAGAGAGAGATAGAAACATCAATGATGAGAATCATTGATCGGTTGTCTCTGGCTGCCTCCTTCATGGTCCCTACTGGGAATAGAGTCCACAACCCGGGCATGTGCCCTTGACTGGAATTGAACCCGGGATCCTTCAGTCCACAGGCCAATGCGCTATCCACTGAGCCAAACCGACTAGGGCAGGATATGTCTTTTATTATTATTATTATTTTTTCTTCGAGAGGTAGTGAGAGGGAGAGAGAGATTGGGAAACATCAATGATCAATGTGAGAGAGTAACATTGATAGGTTGCCTTTAAAACCTGGGCATGTACCCTGACCGGGAATCAAACCTGCAACCCTTAGGTCCGTGGTCGGCAAACTGTGGCTCGGGAGCCACATGCGGCTCTTTGGCCCCTTGAGTGTGGCTCTTCCACAAAATACCACGTGCAGGCGCTCGTACAGTGCGATTGAAACTTCATGGCCCATGCGCAGAAGTCGGTTTTCGGCCTGGGCGAGTCTATTTTGAAGAAGTACTGTTGATATTTGGCTCTGTTGACTAATGAGTTTGCCGACCACTGCCTTAGGTGCACAGACAATGCTCCAACCAGCTGAGCCACACGGCCAGGGCAGAGTAATTATGGTAAATAGTCCTCCTTCTTGAGCAACAGTATAGTAGTGATTCACAGTGTGTTTTCTGGGTTAGTCCAGACGAGGTGGGTGTGAATCTTGAGTTCTCTTTTTTCTTGTTGAACAACTTGGACAACTTCATCTTGCTGAGTCTCCATCCCCCATTTATAAACTGGGAACACTAACAGTACCTATCTCACAGGATCACTGTGAGGACTGAATTATGCAGACCAAGCATTTAGCAAAATTGCCAGTACATACAAACGGTACAACAAAAGTAACTGCTCATTATTATTATTGTGATCTTTTCAACCCTATTCTAGCTCAAGGCACTATCCTTTCCACAAACCCCATTAATCACTTCTCTGATCTTCACTGATTTGGATACCTCTTACAATCCATCTTGCATTGTTTCTTTTTATGACCGTGCCCTCAACAATACAACTGGACCTCCCAGGCTCACCTTGCTCTCACCTTGAGGCCTGTCTTACACATCATTATCGTGTCCCCAAACCCCACAGATCCAATCCCAAGAGCACTGACATCAGAGAACCATTGCCCATTACACAGCAAAGGCTCCTAAACTTGTTTAAAAAATAGCGCGATTTCTTCGTTTCCATCCCTTAAAATGTTGCTTCTCCCCTTTCTGAGCTACACGCCCCCCCTTCTTTCTCAAGTCTCCTAGGGGGAATAATGTATAATATACAAAATGGATCCCATTCCTTGGGGACTCCAGGGGGGTGAACACACACATATTTATATAAATAAATATACGCTTAGATATATAAAGTATATATTTATATTCCCTTTGCCCTCAAGGAATCCATTAATTCAACAATAGTTGAGTGCCCGCTTTGTGTCCGGACCAAGGTATCTGTTGGGATACGAACAGCCTAAGATAGAGGTTCTAGCTCTCATGGAACCTACATTCTCCCGAGGATCACAAGAAAAATATAAAATTTCAGCTACAGGAAGTGCCCTAAAAACAAACAACACCGGCATTTGTGAGCGAGGAGGAGGATTAGAATACCCCTGCTATTCTATTGGGTGGTCTGGGCGGACCCGGAGGTGAAATGAGCCGAGATTCAGTTCATAAACGTTTACACTGAAACGTACAGTTGAAGGACCTTGGAGGCTGAAAAACTGGGAGACCGGGTCTCCACGCGGCGCCCCTTCCCGAACAGCTGCGCGTTTTGGGGAACACCGAAGGCTGAGTTCTCGCACTTCTCGTCGTCTGGGGGCGCCTGCGAACTGGCCGCCGGCAGCTTGACGTCAGCGCGGGGCGGGGCCCGGCCCCTGTGACGCCATCATTCCCACAGCCCCGCCCCGCAGCGCGCACGCTCCCGCGCATGCTCCGAGCCCCGCCCCCGTGCGTCACAGAATGGCCTCGGGCCCCCAGGCGGCTCCTGACGTGTCGGGGAGGAGCCGGGCGGTGGGGTGCGCGCAGTGGAGCTCAGGCTGCGGAGGGGAGCGGAGCTGAGCGGCTGGGCGGGCCTGGGGAGGCCAGCGGAGCGGAGACGCCGGTCGGGTGGCGGCGAATATGCGCTTCTGAGACGTCGGAGGTGAGCCTGCGGCGCGCGGCGGCCGCGAGGGTGCCGGGCCGGGCCGGCGGCGCCCAGGC